TTTCAAATAAAAATATCGTATGTTATCAGGAATATATTTTAGTTTTTAATATTTTTTCGCTAATATGACAAATTTCATGAAAAACTTTGTTTTGATATTCGGGCCAACTTCACTGAGACAAGGCTCGTATATTTGATATTGTTTTAATAATGATCTACCAATCAGTTTCCGAGTTGTTGCTCCAGCTATCAGCTATTTGCGATTGGAATTTTAGTTGCGAGATTCGCGGACAATTGCATATCTTGGCCTCCGCCTATGATTTCGGGATATCTTTAGCTACATGTTGCTCTCGGGTGACCGTTCAAAATAAATTACTTCAAACTCCAGTGGTTCCTTGGGATTGTCGACCGTCGGTCTACAAAACTTTTTTTATTTTTTTTTTGTTTTAGCTTAGTGAGCCACCTTAGCTTAGTGCTTTAGTTGATGTGGTGTCCTAGTGAAAATGTTGAGTGACGGTTGGAAGTGTTTGTTGTGTGTTGTGTGATTTTCTTCTTGATTATTGACACTATACTTTGTGGCAAATGATACACAAATATAAAAGCATCACTATTTGTTCAGTGATGTGTGTGAGTCCCATATAACTAGTCAACATAAATTAAATAAAAACTCCCCAAATAGAATAAGATAGGATATCATAAAGAGTTCGTATTGCGGCTGTTCATTCGCAACAGTTTACTGCTGGATTTTCTGATGGATTAAACAATCCCGAAATTACGGAAAACAACCCTCAGTTCTTGCAGTTTATCTCATTTTTCTCAACATACGAAAAAAAAAATGAAATAAGAAATGACTACCACCATATACCTTGTGACACAGGAGACATGTCCTAATTATATACAAACTAATAGTATGCCCTTAATATTTTCCGGAGTGATTTAAAATGCAATAAAATACAGGGTGGTCCATTCAAAATAACGAAGTTGCTAGTTGTTTCTGATAGAAGTGGCAACACTGTATCGATGAAAATATTTTAGACTGATAGAGAATGTTCAATAATTATCAAAGCATCCCAATTTTCGGAATGTTCTGTCTTTTCGTTCTCCAGATACTTTCCCTAATAGCACACAACGTCCTAGGGACGTCCCTATTTCGTATAATTCACGTCCGAATGTCCCGAACCAAAAATAAATGTCCTTGGGACGTCCCATCCCGTACATCTCATGCAATGTCCGAGCAAGGACGTCCACGGGATGTCCCAGCTGGTACATCATTTCAAATTTCCTAGAAATAGCATCCCTTAGACGTCCCACGTGGTACATATTGTAAAATGTCCATGCAAGGACGTCCTTGGCATGTCCCTGATGGGATATGATTTTGAACGTTCCTTTAGGGACATCCATCGGATGTCCCGAGTAGTACATATTCTGGCATGACTTCAGATCTTATATAATGTCCCTTCTAGACAACCATGAAATGTCCCTGATGGTGCATTCTTTCAAATATCTCTGCACAGACGCCCTTAATATTTCCGGGATCGTATAACAATCGGAATGTCCCTTAGAGACATCCTTCGAATGTCCCTTAGGGACATCCGTCGGATGTCCCAATTGGTACATGAACTGTACTCTCCCAATGTCCTAGAAATAACGTCCTATGGACGTCCCAGTCGGTACTTTCATTATGTTGTCCCTGCGAGGACGTTAACTTACACCTCGCCGACGAATGATTGCTCGTAGGCTATAAGTACTCCTCGTCAATGTCCTTCACGTAAGTCCATTGGACATCCTAGGGAAACTTTTTGGGGACCTTCTGCGGACCATAAACTCAACCGGATGTCCTTATCAGTTATGCAAGATCTGGTCCTAGAGGGACCCAGAAAAATTCAAATTCAAGAATAATTCGTACGTCCCTGGGACATCCTATGGACATCCAATTGATATCCCTCAGCGTTGCTGATAGGTTGTCCTATGGATGTCCTAAGGATGTCCTCTGTAGTGCTTGATGAGGAATACTGTAGGATTTAGGTATTCGATAGTCGTCCCAGGGACATCCCTCAAGGACGTCCAATGGACGTCCACGGTACCAAATTCGAACGTCCTATGGACGTACTGAATGTCTTGACAGGACGTCCTAGGGATATCCATGGGACATAAGTGTGTTATCAGGGATCTAACAGGTCATCCATCCTGGATCACCCTGTATAAAAAGTTATATCAGTGATATTAGCAAAATTGATTTTTTGAAGAGCTATTTTCTAACTGCATGGTTCATAGTAGAAACATGGCACTTCACTTACCTTTCTGGATAGACACACACACGTCAACATTGGAATTTCCACTGCTTCCACACTGTTGCCATTAGCTATACAAAATATTTTAGGATAGGTGGAGAAAATATGGTCGAGTATTGAAAAAAATATATGGCAAAGATGTTGTCAACGGATCCCTTATTATTTGTAATTTTGTGGTAGCATGGTCGACTACTGGAGGTGTTCGAACTTAATTTCCTATAATTCAGTATCGATAAAAAAAGACATAGTAGACCTCGGTATGCATATTATGCACATATGCAACCGCAAATCATCAATTGCACATCATTACTTCGCAATACGTTGTAGGTTCTCTGTGGGCGGTAAATAACCACAAATTATATATCATGGTAGGCCGACGCAGACATTTCACCTATTATTCCCCTCATTACAAGACACACGGTTTCGATTGGTTGGACTATTTTTCTGTTCATAATCAAGAACACTACTAGCGTTTTCCACTTGCCTATTTATAGAGCTCCGAGCACTGGCTCTTTTTTTTTTCTTGAAGTGCAGTTCCAGCACAGAGCAATAAAGATGAAAATTGATCACTTTGAGAGCCGTATCAACTAAAAATTCAAATTCTCTGAGATATTGTCTATGCAACATGTGTTTCTGCTTAGACCCCCCCCCCCCCCCCCCCAAATACGAACATTAGCACTAGTGATTTGAACACGATCACGAACAATGATGACATAACTTTTTTACTTTACCGAAACAAATATACATCAGCCTCCGACCTATTCATGTGAAACCAATACACTGTCTGTACCCTTGATCTAGCCGATGAGTAAAGTAAAAGCCTCCCATCCGCTGATGGTACCGCAACACTTCAGACATCCATCGTTCGTATACATTGGCATCAGGACTTCAAATAGACATACTATATAAATGTCCTTCACACTAGCGAATGATCATCATTTCCTTCCAATGTCCTAGAAATAACGTCCTACGGACGTCCCAGTCGGTACGTTCAATATGTTCTTTCTGCGAGGACGTTTACTTCACCTCGCCGACGATCGACTGCTTATAGGCTATAAATACTCTTCCTGTCAATGCCCTTCATCAAAGTCCATTGGACATCCATGCGAAACTTCTTCAGGATCTATTGGGGACCTTCTATGGACCATCAACTCAACTGGATGTCCTCATCGGTTATGGAAGAATGAATTCAAATTAATGAATAATTTGTAGGTCGCTGGGACATGGACGTCCAATGGACGTCCGCATCACCAAATCCGAACGTCCTATGAACATCCTTAATGTCCTGATGGGACATCCAAAGGATGTCCATGGGACATAATTATGCTATCAGGGATGGTATTCCAGACTAGACTCCTAAGGACTTAACCGGACGGTTTCTGGCTCTCTATCCAGAGAGAAATGAACGATTGATTGTTTATATATTAGAGCATCTCAGGTTTTTTCATTGTTTGTTCCATGCCATTTGCCATTTCAGTAAAATATTTTAGGAACAGAATTAACATACTTTATGGTACGGGAATTATTCCCGGTGGTTGATAATTATTTCTAGCCATTTTTGCTGAATGGTTTTATGTAGTAAATCTCGTTGCTTCGGAGTCTGAAGTGTGAACACCAAAACATTGTATGTTTGGTAGCCTCAGTTTTTGTTTCTGAGAACTTCTTTAATATCATTTGCATTTTTGAACGAACATAACTTTCAGTGACCTACATCAGTATTCTCGAAACTCTCCAAGTCTCTGTGAATGTATGTTCTTATCAAGATCGATTTTCTCACAGATTTTCACAATTTTTTTTTCATTCATGAAGCTGTCATTACGCTTAGTTTTAACAGACTCCTTTAAATTCAGAATTATAACGTTTTTGGATCGTGTTCTTCTTTATTTCATTTCTGCGATGATATTGTCAAATTATATTCACTTGGCTTCATTGCTTCGTAGTTTACATTTTCCATTTTTTCCATTCTCTAGTGTAGAATTCCATAGCTCAAAGTGGAGTAAAAAAATATTAGTATGAGGCAAATACAAAATTATTCTATTCTATTTTGCAATGAATTCATCTTTCCAATCACCACGTGAATTCATCCTTCCATCCAAGGTCAGTCTTTAAGTCTTCGATTTCTTCCACTATTTTTGTAATTTTTTAAATGCTTCCGTACATTCTGGATAGAAGTATATCAGCGTTCTCTTTTCAAAATCACTGGCACCTAATCCTAATACCGCAAAGGACATATTTTTGGTCTTTTGTAATTTTTTTGTACACAAAAACTAATAATTAGAGTCAAAGTAATCATCTCAGAATATTATGCTACTTTGTGCGATTGAATAACACAACATAAGATGTTTTTATTTTTGATTTTCACGAATAATTCGAACGAATCGGTTTTGATTTTACTCAAGACATTTAACCCAACTTTTTCTCCTTCTGAAGAAATACCTTCTCTATAGCTGTTTTTTGCCTTATATCATTACTAAATAAATTGCTCCCTACGGCTTGAGATGAACATGTCGAAACTTGAAAATGTATTCAATTATCAGGAAAGGACCTTTCCCGATATAGAAATTTTGCAAATAAACCACATCCGAATACGAACATTCACAAAATAGTATAAGTTCAACACGAATACGAACATTGAAGACAGAATCTTTCCAACCTCGCCGAAACAAACTCACATATATTATACATCAGCCACCGACCTATCATTGTGAATCCAACACACTATCTCTATAGTATCTCGCCGTTAGTCGAAGAACAAACAATATAAATCAGAATGCCAGGACAGCCGTCTCTATACCCTTCGATCTCGCCAATGAGCAAAGTGAAAGCCTACTTGGAATCCTACCCTTCATCAAACAACCTAAACGGATACAGCCCCACCACGAGCAATTCCAGTACCAGCCTGTATTCGAGCGCCTCCCAAAGAACGTTATCTCCATCAGGCCTTCCCCCGATGATACCGCAACACTTCAGAAGGTTCACCCCAGTCCACAGACCCTACTCTACCGGATACGACGTACCAAGCGAGCGGAAGCCCGTGGTATTCCAGACTAGGCCCCTAAGGAGTTTAACCGTGGTTTCTGGCTCCCCATCCAGAGAAAGATCAACCAGCCCGTTCTCCAGCAACTACAGCATCAGGTCCACGAGGTCAGCCAGTTGCTGTCCTCCTAGAAGAACATTTCCTCAGTACTACGAAAAAGGTGTAGAGGACACCGAGGAAAAGGAAGAAAGCCCGGTGGTATTTGATGCCAACCTGACTTTCGTGTTGGGCTGCAAGGGGAAGCTGAGGCAGCACGTGGTGCCGGTACCTGCGCACCAGGATGTGCAGACGGCTTCGAACGCACTGTCGTGTAAAATCTCGGACTTCCTGTCGCGGACTGACCACGTGATGGACGAGTGGCGGGGGTTGGGGCATAAGGAGGACGAACAGCACAGCTCGCGGATGATGAGAAGAGGGGGGAAGCTGTTGGGTAGGTCGAAGAGTGCGACGAATATCATGATCAAGGGCTTCCAGTACTTCAGCAGGGCGAGCAGCAGTGCTGGCAGCAACAGGTCGTCGGTGGTGAGGGAGAGTTGCGGTTTGGAGGATGCGACCGAGGCGGAGTTTGATGAGGTAGATAAAAATGTTGGAGAGTGATCGTACTTGCAGATGCTGATTAATATCGTACAATCGGCTACACGAAGCTTCGCGATTGTCTGTTAGTGATGAGCTGCGGTATTTGCCTCAGAAGTTACCTAATTGACTGAGTTTTTCGAAGCGTTCGGTGATTTCAGTCAATAAACGACTTTTTCATTTCCAGATTTATATTCTTCATTCAATGAACATATTTAGGAATTGAAAGTAATTGATGTCGAAAAAAAAGTACCTATACACTGTACGTCCTATAAGTCATGGATCAAAAAACGTGAGGTGGTGCGGAGGTTGATCAAACTAACCGTATATGTTGTTATCCAATTGCTAATGGTTCGAAAAATTTTTATACTTTTCTTTAAAATAGTTTATTTCAATAAAGCTATGTCTCATTTGTGATTTTTTCTTTCACCAATTCCATCCACATGGATACAACTTTCCCCAGAAATAATTTTATGACCTGTGTCACTTCGTATCAATTACCTATGAAAAATGGTGTTATCCTCAAGTTTTGTCATTGGATTAAATATTTCAATTGATTTTCAAATGCCGCTGGCAGATTTAAAAACTACCCCACGAAGATAACCAATTTTAAGAAAAAGTTGCCACTTTATTGCATATTCCCAAATGGTATAACATTTGGAGTTAGTCAAAACAGCGGTTCTCAGAAAAGTTGAATAACTTTTGACCAATCAACAATTTGATAACCACATATACCGTTAATGCAAATGAGCCGCCTACCACCCCGCTTCTTTTGATTCATATGACTTATGGAACACCCTGTACAGTAACGTTTCATAAGTATTTTCTTCTTCATTTCCATCTCATGCTTTGTTATACTAAAATGAAAACATCTCTATGGAAATGTTCAATTTAATTGTCAGAATTTTTCATGAAGCTTTTGTTACCACATTCATGTTGCTATAGGCAAGAAGTTGGGTATATCAACATAGGCAAAATATTGTGCCTACAATTATTGAGATATATTTTCATTGTTTACTGATTCTCAACAGATAATGAAATGAATGAATTGGTATCGGATGACATAATTCTCATCTCGTTATCAAATCGCGAAATCGAGTACAAATTTCCGCACAGGAAAGTGCAATTATTCAAAAATTTTGCTCAGGATAGTGATTGGCACAGGTGCCGTTCGATAAACTACAATGGTTTTACAAGTTTTACATGCTTTTGGGACATATCATTTCGTTATCAGATGACTGTCAAAATTTGCAGCCTGCTCTTGGACAATAATTACAAATTTCTCAGCATGCCTCTTAGCTCCACTTGTGTATTATTTAGAAAAATGTATCGTATGTAAGTATCACTGCATCTCTTATTTCATTAATGAACATTTTTGTTGGCCTGAGCCCAGCAAATTTGATAATTATATCATTATAGTATCTAAAAATATTCCTTCAAGTGTCAGTCATCAAAAAAAAGTTGCATAACCTCGTTATATACATGTATATAGTGTGTCGTCAATATCCGAGTCAATATCCATCTGAATATTCATAATTTTTTTGATATTTCAAACCCTGCCAAAAATATTTTCCGGGAATGCATGCATACTTTATACACTTAGAAAACGAAAAGAAAGCATCCAAGACTCAATGATTATTTATTTTTAGTTTTGTGATTGATCAGATATACAGGGTGGCATTGAAATAAGTGCAAATATTTTAAGCATTGAGTAAGCTCGACGTATACTATCGAGTGGTACCAATAATAGAATATAAGGAACAAAATAAAATTGGAGGTTAGCCCCGTTTTTCCGCCCATGTTAAAATTTTCGTGCTGAAGGCACACTCACGCGGATTTCAATCATTTGAATTATTTTAAAGTGGCGCACTCAATTTTTTTCTCGTCTTCTGTTCAATTTTCGCGATGAAATTTCTTGTTAATTAGAAGAATTAGGAAAAATCCGATATCATGGGAATAATCGTTACGACTGTATCATATCGATGTGCTGATTATATGTACTCATTTCAAAAATACCTTGTATTCATAATTATTCACGAACTGTGTCTTTTATAGCATTTTAGTTCTCGTCTCAGTAGTTTCAGAGACGAGCAAAATTTCGATTTTTCACTTTGGCGAGCAGACACGAAAAAATCATGAGCCAGTTTAGTTTCATATGTAATACCACAAGTAATTCCATTTTGCCGGAAATATTCGTTGATTGCCACGACAGCTTGTTGTCTTATAATTTTGTGAATTACATTGGTTTTCAAAACTTTCGAGCCGTAGGCGACTATTTCATGATTGAGACAATAAACGAGCGCCTCGCGAGAGTTGCGCACACTGCATCCATCATTCTGGCTTCCAACATAATTGGCGTTTCGAATGTAAAAAATGTTATCTCTGAAAAACGAGGATGGTTTGTCACGTGTGGGGTCAATTCGGCTTCTTTATTAGTAAAGCAGTAGTAGTAGTAGTAGTATTGTGGGCAGGCGCGTGCCTAGGGTAATTTCATGGGGGGGGGGGGGTAATCACCCATTTCAGGACCAATATTTCCTACGTTTTAAAAAGTTAAACTTCAGTAACACTAAGGCATTCATATTTAATTCTTAAAAAAAATTAACAAAATGTTCTTTAAAACAATAGCTCGAATATGAGAGAGTGTAAAAATAAATAAACAGAATATATTTCAAAATGAAAACAATAACTCAAAAATAAAAAAATGTATAACTAAAAATAAATAACAGAATAAATATTCTTCGAAACGAAAACAATAACTCGAATATAAAAGAATGTAAAAATAAATAAAGAGAATATCATTCAACACAAAAATAATAACTGAAAAATAAGTAAATGTGTAACTGAAAATAAATTAGCAGAATATTCTTCAAAACGAAAACAATAACTCAAAAATGAGAGAATGTACAACTAAAAATATATAAACATAACAAAACAGACAAAATAATAAAAACAGGTTACCTATAAATGATAAATGAATGGTATCAAATTGTAAATTCCATATTTCTTTGTTTTTTAGCACTAAATCTGTCAATGATATTATTTATATTAATTTTCATATCCCGATGTATATTCAGCAAGGCAAGTCCTGTTAAACGAGTGTCCAACATGGTTGATCTAATATAGGTTTTCAGTCTTCTTAAAGTCGAGAAACTGCGTTCTGCCGAAGCGACAGATACCGGTAATGTCACTTGAATTTGTAAAATAGTGTAAATTAAAGGGTAAATATTTTTATCACACTTCAATAATGAATCGATTCCAGTATGAGGTTTTTCATGACAATTCTTCCATTCATTTATCCATAGTTCCAGTTCTGATGATAATCAGGAAATAAGGAATGTTCAAATTTTTTCATCATCATCGTGGTCATGGGGGGGGTAATTACCCCATTACCCCCCCCCTCAGGCACGCGCCTGATTGTGGGGAAGCTGTAGTCAGGCAAGTAGGCCCCGATGGGCCCCTTTTTGCCAACCCCTGCTCGCCACATATCTACACATTCCTCTTTTAGTTATCCTTTTCGAACCTTCCCGTTCTTCTTTCTCCAGTATCCTTCTAGTGCCTCGTCCGCCCATTTGTTGAGGGCACACGAAGTTTGGCATCTTGTTATGCCCAGTACAGGCTCCGTTCCCCAGAACGGTGTCGCGGATCCGATTCTAGCCAGCTCGTCGGTCACCTCGTTCCCGGGCACCCCCCTGTAACCCGGAACCCATATTAGTTCGACTTCCTTCTGTTCAGCTAGTTCCTCAAGAGCATCGCCACATTCCTGCACCAAAGCTGAGCTTGGTTTAGGGTGGCAGATAGCCCTAAGAGCCGCCTGACTATCCGAGCAGATGAAAGTCTTCTGCTCTGGTCCCTCTTTCACCTCTTGCCTCTGGTACGGCCAGAATGGCAAATACCTCGGCCTGGAAAACTGTGGTATACTTTCCAAGAGCATAGCTCTCCCATAAACCTATCCCTTCTAGGTTAATTCCTGCACCTTAGTCCTGTTTGTCAGTTAGGCGCGATCCGTCCGTTTAACATTTTAACTTGGTAAAGCAAGTCCGATGAAATTCAGCAAACGAAAAATATCGCTGTAATACAGAAGAAATCGTGAGAATGATGATTATGATTGGTTCTCGAGAACAATAGTAGAATAGTCATCTATGAAAATACTAGAGATTCGAAAAAATCCATTACAATCCTTTTTAGCGCACAAAATATTCAACATTAATATTTTTTGCGCAACAATTCTTTTACGTTAATTATATTTCAAGCAAATGTGATCAAAACCCCTCAACTGTATTAGCTCTTCATTAAAATTTGGAATATCAAATAGCAATACATTTCCGTCCGAACCTGCATAAAAAAATAAACGACAATTATCTTACCCTTAACTTGCCCTAAAGTAGTTAAGTAAGTTCCAAAGTTCATTTATATCTTTCCATTCAGAAACGAGTCATTCGTCTGGTTAGTGATGTCACACTTTCTTATCTTTCGGGGAGCACAAAGGGAATCCCTAAATAATGTTCGGAGATCATCGTGAGTACCTTCTAATAACTCGACATCATTCGATCACGGCAAGAATGTTCCTTTTCTATACCTACTTCCTCGGAAAACTCACTCAGCACATCCCTATTCCATCAACCTCGGAATATGTCGAACAGCTCTCTACCAAAACTCGTTAGTTCATAGTACGGAAAAGCTATGGAATTCTTTGCTCGAGAAAGTATTCAAAAGAACTCCGAAAATTCTAATACCTAGTTTTTCTCTTTATCCCTCCTAGGTATGCATGACGTAACACTAATGTGATAGGGATGTCCATTTATGCGCTCCAAGAGATGAAATGAAATATCAAAATCACTTCAAAAGCAAAAGCAGAATCTTCAGAAAACTGGGAAGAAAGGTGTCATTTACATCAGATAAGAATATAATACACTCACCGGCAAATTAATCGATCTACTAAAAATATTGATAAAATATTATCAACAATAACTTCGTTAATTCAATTCCAATTTGTTAATCATGTTTTAATGGTTATAGTGAAATAAGGAAGATTTCATTTACATCAGATTAGAATATAATACACTCACCGGCAAAATAATCGATCCACTCAAAATATTGATAAAATATTATCAACAATAACTTCGTTAATTCAATTCCGATTTGTTTGATTTTTCTCTCATCTCGTACGTAAATTCATGAGAAATCTCACACAAGGTTGGGATTTCAATAAATTGAGCATATCTCCAAATTATACAGGGTGACACAGAAAGTGCATTTTTTCTCCAATTTCAAAACACTCTGTGGAGTGGCTAAGCTGGTACATCATGTAATTTCTCATTTGATTATCAAGCTACGTTTATTACGTACGTTGCTTCTTTTTATTTGTCACGGTAACTGTTTTTTTGTGAAAGTTACAAGGGTTTCAGAAAAACGTTACATCTCTATATTTTTTTATGGTAACAACAAAGTTTTCTAAGAAATTATTTTTTTCGAAGCTGGCTGTGACATCGAATGGTTGAATAAGATATGGATATTTTTGCAACCTACACCTGCGAGAGCTATTGCTTTCATGCAGGATGGTAGATCACAATATTATGTGGCCAGAGCTTTGGGAGTTTCAATATCTAGGGTGCAAAGAGCTGTAAAACGTTTTCGTGAATTCGGTGTATTCACAAAAAGAGGTAATTGTGGTCGGAAGAAATCTACGAATGATCGAGATAATCGCTTCATAACGCTCAAAGTTTTTAGGATCAAAAGACTCACTTCTGTCCGAATGAAAAACAAATTGGAGGAGGTGGGGCATGTTTAAGTCAGTGAAAGAACAATAAAAAGGAGACATTTTTATTGAATCATTATTGCTTGGTTTCACATGTTATTCATGAAAGTTTTTCCTCTGCGTTTCACAAAAAAATGATATTTTCAAATTTTCAATCAGTGTATAATTGAAAGATTTTCCCTAACTTCGAGATGGAATTCAGTTGCATTTTATACCTGAAGAAGTATTCCCAACAACTCATAATCACCTATACTCCCTAGGAACGCACGATGTTATATAGGGATTCCCTTTCGTGCGCTCCAAGCAATAAAAAAAAAGTGAAAAGTTACAGAAGGAATTTGAAAATAACATAATGTTATATTTTCCCTACTAGCTAGATCAATTATTCGTACATACATCCAGCATTCAGGACTTTTTCTCTTTCATAAAGACATGTAGATGAATCGACTACAATATAAACATCTCATATACCTAATCTATGAATCATATTCTGCGAATCTCATGTATTTTAAGAAGTGACATACTTTATTGAACGAATATTTGTCGAAATAGAAGTATTCCTTGCTCAGATCACTACCAACAAATCGAAATAATACACACATGCAAATGAACCATTTCAAAACACTGTACTTCCATATAGTTCCTCAGCCGGGCACTTTGGCGATGCGATCTCAAAGTCAGTTGCTTATAAAGATATAATGTATTCAAAGAACAATTTCCGGAATTCTCGACATATTGATGATATCGGCAACGTCGTACTGACATAGGGAATCGTATTTCAACTGTTTGTGACTGTGGCTTTTCAGGAAGTACGGCATAGAAATGGTGAAGGAGCCGAGCTCTTCTTTCATTTATTTTTCCTGAAGTGAAAGGGAAAGGACCCAGCACTTTCTGAACGTAAAATGGTTCACGATGAAATTTTCTGAATTTTCAGTATGTTGTAGAATTTGATGAACCGGTTGAACCTGCAGAAAACTGCAGAAAACTGAAGAAACAGATTCTGAAATACAGGGCGTTAAAATTACAAATATGAATTCATACATCTGCTATTGTTATTTCTAATTTTCATCCTGTAGATAAATACTACAATTATTTTCATCTCCACATTCTCACGTTTCACTATTTGTGAAAAATCTCGGCCACTCGGCGATTGTAAGTCTCTTCAACTTTGCATGCAGATGGTGAGTTCCTGAATTAATTACTATGAAACCAGTCATGATAGGAAACTGAATTTTTAAGACAATGTTGAGGAGCGAACCATAAATATATTATGAAATAATTAGGGAATTTCACCGAGCTAATCATGAATAAGAGGGTGATTTCAGAAAAACACGATATTTTGTCGTTTTCATCATCGAAAATCTTCATGATCACCCTATATATCCCAACGAAATTATGTCCATACAGTATCAACTATCTTTGGAAGATAACAATGTATGGAATGTATGAATTGTGATTCATGATGGAATGAGACTAGTATATTGCATGCCTGAATAATTTTATGGATATTTCATTATTTCGTCCCATTTTCAGATATCACTAAAATGTTTTTATGTTTCACTCTGTAATAAATTACATGATCAGAACCATCTGAATTATATCGAGTAATATGGAGGTACGTTAATAATATGAGCGGAAAAAATTGCACTTGGCACTTGGAGGTAGAGACTATAGGGTGTTCAAAATCGAGATTTTTCAACTTTGTGTCCAAACTATTCATTATTGGTCAAAACGAGTCATTTTTTCCTATCACAACTTTTGATTGACTATATATTGACATTTGATCGGAACACTACAGGGTAGTTCAATGAATAGCTTCGACAGAAAATAATTCTTGAGCTGAAAAATCTCGATTTTGAACACCATATATCTATGTAATCATTCACGCTAGACTCCTAGTGTGATGCATTGATGAGATCAGCTCTTCAGGAAGAATCTTGAAATGCAATGAAATACAGGGTGTTCAATTTGAAAAAATCAACTAGTACTCTGTAGATCGTTTGTCCCGAGCACCCTGTATTTTCTGATGTAGCGGAAAAAACCTTTATCAAATATTATTTTAAATGATGCCCCAAATTTTGCGATTGATTAAAAAATAACTGAGCTAGATGGAGAGACATTTACGGTGAATCACCCTGTACATCTCCATATTTTTTGCAGCTGAGCGAGATGACCGCCGATCTGGCCGAAGAGCACTCCACCTCCACTCTGGCCGCCGAACGTCTCGACGCCGAAACGTCGGATCGGCTGAAGCTGGAGAAGGAGCTCGCCGACGTCCAGCTGCGGCACAAGCAGCTGCAGCAGTCTGCGGAGCGGCTCGAGATGGAGCTGCTGTACGCCAGGTGGGGGGAATTTTTCTATTGATGACGAGGTCGAAGTTTTCCAAATTTTCAGTCGTTGATATCACGGATCGATGTTACTCACATAACCTTAGTTAGGGATAATGCAGGGTGTTTTTCGATTGATGGCCTCAGATATAAAGGGTATCCAGAAAGTTTATGCCAAAATTATGTTGATACTTCATATAAAAAAAATGTCTGTCCCACTTCGTTAGGGAGTTCCTGACCTTGAAAGTCCATATATACATGAGCATTCATACATCATTAGTAAACTCATCCATTGTGTTACAAAAGTATCAAATACTGTCAAACTAATTTGGTGTCAATTATGACAATGACTGCAACTATCATGATGTTATTGAATAAATAGAGTTTCTATTACCTTTGAAACGGATGGAATCTAATTTCCTAAACTGCGATTTTCTCTAGAACGGTACAAGATATCGATTGAGATAAGGTGTACTAGTTTTGTAGAAAAAAGATGAAGGAATCATACTGTGAAAGTGAAATGTCAAATTTGTCATCTCAGTCAGCATTAGTATGAGTAAATTCAGTTGCTTGAATATCATTGATACCATGGCAACCGTTTGAAAGTTATACATGAAATATACCGGGTGTTTCTCAAAAGTGGCTCACCCCTCTAACTTTTTTGTTTCTATAAATAAACAAATGAAATTCGGTGTGTAAGTATAGTACATACATATGCATTATCTGTCGTATTCGGAAATGACCCATATGTTTTTATTTTATTTATTTATATAGAGAATAACATTGTGAGGACAATGACACCCCATTTTCCACTTTTTGAGATTTATCATCCTGAATGTTTCATTTTTCAATTATTAATCTAGTGTGATTATGATACTGGATATTTATTCAAAATGTCGATCAAATGGTATCAACGTGTTCGTAAACTATTTTTCCTAGCCAACATGATTAAAAGTCAACTGTTTCAACTTATTTACGGCACACAGGATTTAAACAAAACAGTTATAGGGGTGAGCCACTTTTGAGAAACACCCGGTATATCCGTAACGGAGTGCGATGGACATTTTTTTATATAAAGTACTAACATTATTTTGACTCACTCTATCACTGAAACAAGAATATTCCAGACAGAGATGAATGATACATGATTTCTGACAGAGTGAATTAGCGCGAGATAACAGTTGAAAGAATTGATATATCAGTTGCTTCAGTCTCCGTCGGGCGTTTGGTATTTTCTCGTAACTATGGCGAGATGAGGTTAAATTTTTTGATCGAATTAAGTCGTCAATCATTATTTATGTATAAAAGGATCATTATAAACATGGTTTGAGTTGAAAGTTCTACTGGGGTGTACACGCACATTAAATTGCTCCCAGAAAAGTGTACAAAAAACGGCCAGTTGCTGTAACTTCTGAAAAGTCAAGGTTTGTTAGGTTTTGTATTTTTCAGGTAGTGCAAGGAAGCTTGTAATTAAGATATGCGTAGCTATTACAAGAGACTAAAGTTCAATTTGAGCTCCTAGGAACTAAAATGCAACTTGAGCTCCTAGGAACTAAATATGTTGCCTAGCAACATACCTATTTTTGTGTCATTAATAGAAACGTCAATTTACGAACTGATTTTGGTATCAAAATGGACGACTTATTTTGTGTCGGTTGCAGAAAAATGATTATTAAAGGTTCCATCACTGTTTCATAGAATAGAATAGAATAGAATAGAACTTTATTCACCTATGAGTAGTAAACAGATACAATAATATTATTGCACAGCCTACACTATCAGGCTAGTCACAAGATTGTAGAAAATACAGAGTACTACAGAAATACCTATGAGGCTTCACAATATGTAATGAAATAGAGATCATAAAAATAAACATAAAACATATTACAATCTAAGTAAGATATACACATTAAAATCAAATCATTTGTATGAGATAGTGGGGAACTTAAAATAAAATGTACATTTGTGACGAGATACATTAACATAATATATGCACATAGGACTAACATGAGAGTAAAAATTCCTCTGTTGAGAAATATGCCTTTTTGACTAGGTGATTAAATATAAGGTTTTTGAATGATTGGCGATTGCATGTATTCATATTGTGTTTAATTAAATTGCTGAATTTGTTGTAACATTTTGTTCCTTGATAAATATGTGAGTTTTGTCCCACTGCCAATCTTGAGAAAGGAATATAAAAATTCTCTGCATTTCTTGTATTGTATTGATGAATCCAGTCGTGCCTTACAAGTTCTTCTTTATGCTTATGAACATACAATGTAACATGCATACAATGTGCTCCTGTCATGATTCTAACAATTTTCTTTTGTATCACAAATAGCTTATCAATGTGGCTTGAATTTCCCCAGAACATAAGACAGTAATTGAAAATTGATTGAGCTAGTCCATAGTAGGATAGTTTCAATGTGTCTAGTGACACGGTGTTTCTCAGTTGCCTAATCATGAAAGAAACAGTACTCAGTTTTTTTGACAGATACAAGACATGATGCTCCCAAGTCATCTTGTGGTCAATAAGGATGCCAAGAAACTTGGTATATGGAACTTGTTCAATACTTTTACCACCTATGCGAATAAGACAACTGTGGTCATATAATAGTTATTTATGTAATAAGGATCATAAAGACGATCATTATGGTACAAGTCGTGAATGTTATCGGGCGAGGCGTAGCCGAGTCCGATAACACGGCGTGTGCCATAATGATTGTTTATGATTCGTATTACATACAAAATTTTATCTGATGGCATTTATATTGATTGATTGATTGATTGTCTTTATTACCCCAAGAAACATTTCTGTTTATGATAGGGATACATAAATACATATAAAAAAAAATAATAATAAAGGGTTAACTATAATGAATTCCACTGAAAAATTAAATACTGCATTTTCGACATGTCACAATGACAACTATTTTTAAAGGAGTAAGTATTGTGTAGTTTCAAATATTAGTAGGTGAGTGAGCTGTGCTTTGCCATTATATTAATATTACAAATTGTAGTAATTGTTCTTTTACAATTTATAAAAAATAGTTTTGTACATAGTTATGCATTTTGAATAAACTTTTTTGATCAAACCATTACATGTTTTCCTTATAGAATTTCATTCATTATGGTACTTAGTCCCATAATGAGCTTCCTTATGTCATCAAAATTGAGTGACATAACGTTGTCATTATGACATGCCATCAGATAAAATATTTTTTGGTAAGAACGTCATAAAGTGTGTTTTAGATACATTCATGAGTAAGCCGTGCTCTGTTGATTAAAGATTAAATTGTTGTGCCGCCAGAATACAAATACAACAACAAATTCTCACCACACCAATTCCCCATAGGTCGGACCTGGACGGCATCTCCGAAGAGGACGATGACGGCGGCGTCGGAGGCGGCGGAGACAGCGGAGGCGGCGGGGCGTACCGGCGGCGGTACGAGCGCGCCGTCAAAGAGCTGGAGTTCACCAGGCGGCGGCTGCAGCAGCAGCACGAGGACGATCTCGAGCAGCTGGTCGGGCTGAAGAAGCAGCTGGAGAAGAAGGTAGGCTGCGGCGGGGGTGCCAGGGCCGGATCGAGACCACTTGGCACCCAGGGCACAATATATTTTTTTTGACCCGTGCACATTACGAAATTATAGAAATGGAAAATAATCTGGTAATTTTGCACTTATCATGCAATGGGTTTTTTTTCGAAAAATTTTTTTGGTACTTACGTATTTTTGTCTGAAAAATACGAATTTGATATTGAAAATGTGAACAAACCACTATTTATCGAGATATTTCAAGAAAAAGTTCGAAATTTTGCCTTATTTTCCCCCTTGTGTTGGATGCATTTACAGGTACTTGCTCTTTTTATTTTGTCATTGGACACTTCATATACTCATGATGTACTTCAATGACACACATAATTTTTATGGTGAGTTTTTCCTATTTAGTGAGCAAGCATACCAGATGACCGCCATTTAATCGATGGGTAATCCAAATAGGAGATGTCAAATGTCAATAGATTGCTTTGGAATGACATCACACACGCCATTATTTCAAATGATATTCTTCCTTCTTTTCACTTAACATGGATAAATCACAAGAAAATCATATTTCTAGTTGACTCATATAATAAAAAATATGTGTCCAACATTGTGTGATATATATAAATTGTCCAATGATGGAAAAAGAAGGGCAAATTGTTCTAAATGCGCCCCAAAGACAGGCGGAAAAGAAGGTGAAATTTGTAACTTTATAGTGAAATATCTCAATAAATAATGGTTTGTTCACATTTTCATTATCAAATTCGTGTTTTTCAGACAAAAATACGTAAGTACCAAAAAAAATTTTCGAAAAAAAACCCATCGCATGATAAGTGCAAAATTACCAATAATCTTCTTCTTAAATTATCTTCTCATTATAGTATCGACACTTCTGAATGGCAGATGTTGATGCAAACAAATTGGTTTGGTACAGGATGTTTTCATTAATTTATCTTGAATTCAGCATTTTCATAAAATTAGATGGGATTCGGTGATTACAGCACTCGCCTTCGGCTCGTGCTGCAACTATTATCTTCGTGGGTAATAGCCATCATTATGCGCTCATTGAATAATATACTATTATTGGTCCTGAAAAAGAATGAAAAACTGAAATAATAAAAATAGTTAGTGTGCATAAAAATTATTGTGTAAAAACTTTGACATCGAATTATTGCATTCACATGCTATTGTTTCATTATCCGTAACACACTATGATGAACTTATTCCATTACGAGGGGAATTCAAGAAGTAATTTTTCATAAAAGCTCAATTATATGAGTAGATTGTGGATTGAAAATAAGATTGTGATATTTCCTTTGAAAGGTAATTAATTCTATACTGAATCGTAATTTGCAGAAAAAATCACAATTCTGGTCATACCGGAAGAGTAATATTTGGTCTGATACTAGGGAAATTATAAACTCATGAGATCACATCGAAGTACGAAATTGAAAGCAACCATTCAGAATAGCAACGAAGATACAGGGGGATTATTTGGACAGGGTCACATGGTATATTGAATGTTTAATGTCCCAGACATGTTGGGTGTCTTCTTCATTTAGTATAAAATGCCTTAACCTCATACGGCCTGATGATGAGTCTAACTAATTATTTAATTACATAGTGCACTGTATGTGAGTAAGGTGATACAAGATGGAAAACGGTGTGTTCGTGATCGTTAATAGATTGATTTGCGCATTTCCTGATATAATTACTATATTCTTGATTTCTAATCACAATATAAATGTGCCTATCATTAAATCAACAGAAAGTATTGACATCAGTATGTAGCGTTAATATGACTTAATTTACATGAAACGCAGTATAATCTCATTATCAATACATAAATGGATATGATTTAACAGGTCAACTACCATTATGGCGTAGTCTACAATTATTTCAGTCTGGTATAGTTATTCTGAAAATGGCTTGATCCATTTATTTCGCTGATATTTCATAACTATTATATTTCAAATGGCGTCAAATGCTCCCCAGCTGTCACAAACTTGAACCAATCAGATTGCAAGATTGCAAGTTGACAGGATTTTTTATATTGCATTATCAATATTGAATAGTGACTAATTTATTTTGTGCTATACTGGGTGTCTGGAAAGGTTTGAAAGTTTCTGCAATTCCATGCATATGCATACTCATTATTACTAAACTCATTCATAGTGTTACCAAAGTATTCAATACTGTCACAATAATTTGATATCAATTATGACAATGACTAAAACTATCATGTTGTTATTGAATAGATATAGATTTTTTTACCTTTGAAACGGTTGGGATGTATGTTTTCAAAATGCGATTATTTCTAGAAGGGTAAGAGATATAGGATTGAAATACAGAATACTATTTTTGTAGAAAAAAGAAGAGGGAATCATGCAAACGGTGAAAGCGAAATGTCAAATTTGTCATCTTTGTCAAAAATGCCTACATTAAACGGAAAAAGTTCGTCTCATCCTGTATAAAACATAATCACTGAACGACCGTTTACATATAATCGAAAGAAGCATTAGATGAGTTCATTTAGTTGTTCAAATATCATTGTTTCCATAGCAACCGTTCAAAAGTTATACCTACATGAAATATTTTTTTTATTCAAACTTTCTAGGTCAATAACTCCATAACGAAGTTCGACATTTTTTTTATATGAAGTACTGACATTATCTTGACTCACTATATCTTTGTTTCCGTACGATTTTACTTTTCCGCATGATTTTTATTTTACCACACGATTTTATCCTTTTTTTTTCATAAATTATATGGATAAAAACACTCTTAGGAAAAACATTGCACCTAACTCTTGCGGCAAAGAACTACTTTCCGCAATTGTTAGGTAGATAACTATTATTCTATCCCTTCATCAATAAGTATGGCCATAATAGGGCAAATCTCACGATACTAGAAAGCCCAACTCATAATATCCCTAACATTCTTGTAAAGCAATCAACATGGCCATCAAACCTTCTTTTTCTATAATACATACTTCGCGCACTGTTTCATATAAAGTATATGAGATTTTCTGTATTTTAACCTTTATATATGGTCCTCAATCATGAAAAAATCGAAGAAATCATTTTTTTCTCCAGGTCGACACCATTTTTCATATTGAGCTAAGCATATTATTTTAGAATAGTATTTCTTGACGTTTGTAGAAAAAAATCTGTTCTCGATCAAAGTATCACTTTGCGCACTAGATACAAAAATAACTATTTCATTTTCATCTAAACATTTTCTCACAGCATATAAGTTGCAATTCACAGGCTGCAATGACAAAGTAACAGGTATATGAGGTATAATAATATTATGTAACCTGATAATACTGATATGAAGATCATAATATATGCATATATGCATTATTTATGATGAATCAGTTCTAACAGTTGCTTCTGTTGCTAGTAGGTACCTAGTTCTCGGTGAAGTTCCAAGTATTCCAAGAACTGACAGTGCCGAAATTATTTCTCAGAACAATGCGTGTACTTGAATTTCGATATAAAAAAGTAAACAATGATAAGGATGGTTCTATGCGTTATTCAAACATTTGGTAGCCAGTACTTCATAGTATTCCGGGATGTGAGAGTCTTATTTTTTTTGTAGTAGTGATAGATTATAATGAAATTATTATATGAAAATTAATCTAATTGATAAGGCGATTTATATGGTATGTATTTTTATATTTACATTCTTCTCATTGGAAAGCCTTTCAAATCAACATTGCAATTCCAATTAGTTCGAGGGAAAGTTCAATATTAAAATGGACGAACTTTAAAATTATATGCTAAATTCATTATTCCAGATTTTTTTGGGATTTTCTCCTCGTCTCTATAAAATATGAATTTGAATACTATTTCAATATACGTGTAGTGAGGACAACTCAGCGATATTAACTGCCACATTCAATAATTCATCTCAAAATGTTATGACAATATGTATTTCTTGTCACATGAGCATTCATTTCTCATTTCAAAAAAAATTGTCGCAAAGTCAACATGTCATACATTATTCTGTTTAGAAAAAATATCTCAAACAGATAAACTTCAAAAATCATAAGGTGCCATTTGAGAAACAAAAAAGTTCACAGTCGCTGACTGAATGTTAATTTCTTGCACATTTTCTGAGTAGGAGTTGACAAGAAAAAGTAGTTGAAGAAAAAAACCACATAATTATTAATTTTTAAATGATGACCATAAAAGTATTCGAAGCACAAAGGCAATTTGAATCGAAAATCTATATAGATATCAATATTTTTTCCGTGAATAACGATGATTTTCTTCTGAAATATTGGTTATCAAAATTTTTATTGCAGTTTTAGCAGAAAACCCTCTATTTTTCCTTATGGATTGTCAAAAAAGCATATATTCCTATTTGTTTTAATTTTCTCTATTCACTCCTCATGAATCACTCTGTATTCAAACTTTCTTATCATCATTTACCTCATTTTTAATTCAAATCAGGAGAATTTTGAGTAGAATTGGCTCGAAGAATACAAGCAGCGATATCGAAAAAAGCGGAATAAAAACCATAATATTTACATACCTTATATTTTATCAACTCTCACGAAAATGTTGATCCTATCATATTTGTCATTATAATATCTAGGACGAGTTTGTAAATACCAATAATATGGCTTTTGGCATACCTACTTGTAACCAAAACTATGTTCAGGTGAAGTACACAGTCTATAATACTTATTTTTCTATTTTGTGTCTTTAATGAAGTCATTATGACACCCAAATGCGTATCGAAATAGCTTATATTAGGACACGATGAATTTCTTGTTTCAAAGTTGGTAATGGTAATTTCAACGTCAAACTGTCAGATACACAAGCGTCTAGAGAAAATACGCAACAAATAACTCTAACATTACAGGCCTGTTCCTTCGTGCTTGCTTTACCTGCTAAACTTGATTTCTTTCTATGACTCTCTGTTTACATCATGCCATTAACAGGGAAAAATATGGAAAAAATCAACTTTAGCAAGTTGAGCAATACAAACGAACAGGCCTTACA